GGTACTAACTAGCTATGCTATCGTATGGTACTAACTAGCCATGCTATCGTATGGTCCTAACTAGCCATGCTATCGTATGGTACTAACTAGCCATGCTATCGTATGGTACTAACTAGCTATGCTATCCTATGGTACTAACTAGCTATGCTATCGTATGGTACTAACTAGCCATGCTATCGTATGGTACTAACTAGCTATGCTATCGTATGGTACTAACTAGCCATGCTATCGTATGGTACTAACTAGCTATGCTATCGTATGGTACTAACTATCACTCAACACAATACCACGTGTAGCGCACATGTATTGTTGCTAAGACTAGGAAGTGTATCAGGGTTCATTAGAATTTCAGTCTATTTTCACATTACTGGGTGATATTCACGAGGTCCACTTTTACATTACTGGGTGATATTCACGTGGTCCATTTTCACAATACTGGGTGATATTCAGTGGGGTTCATTTTCACATTACTGGGTGACATTCACTGAGGCTCAAAATTCATTATTATATTAAGGACGATGTTACCTGAGGAAAAAGAAAAGCGAACTTCCAAAAAGTCTAAATTATCAAACGAGTAGTTTTACAATGTGACTACTTTACAACCATAATAGTATGTTAAGGCTTAGTATCGTAAGGCTTAGTATCGTTTTAATGAGTATTTTTGTAGGCTTAGGAGAATGAGCATACTAAGATGAAGAACACTAGGAACTAATGGACCAATACGATCTTAAAACAACTTGTTATTATATAATTTCTTTAATACATTAAAAATATATAAGGGACTCGTGTATAAGCAGTGGCTTAACTGTGTTACATTTATCAATTGTGAATAAATGAAATATTCATATTGATTTACTACACCTTCCGATATAGCTCCATCTGGTGGAATGAGTTTAATTTGTTTTATATAAAGGTTTATGGTGGTGTTTGTATGTTAAGTTGTGTTATTTCTTGCGTTAATCGCCCCCCCCCTTTCCAGTGGCACAGTGGTATGTCTGCGGACTTACAATGCTAGAATCCGGGTTTCGATACCAGTGGTGGGCAGAGCACATTGTGTAGCTTTGTGCTTAACTTCAAATAAACCAAACCTGCGTTAATCTCTTTACTTCTACATCAGACTTTCATTCTTCTTGTTACACGATAGTCGTATCTCGTTCTCGACAGTAGGTTAAAACACACACACACACGTTATGGAGAAAATACGTAGATTATTCAATGAATGTTTCCCTAAAAAAAAGGAAAGTTCTTAACTTTTTACTGTTTCAGTATTCTATGATAACGTATACATAACCAGGAAAATAGGGCTGGGAGTGGCTGAGGGGTTAGTGTGCCCAGTCTGTGATACAGATAGCTATTAGTTCTATGTTGTTTCAATCTTTTCCCTTCAGTCTATCAGATCAAATTTAGGGTTAGCAGTTAGTAATTAATTGTATTTCCAGGTGCCTCGCAAGTTATCCGAAAAAGTTTACAATAAGCTACAACCATAATCGCGGGGACAGCGTACTTTTGGGATCTACCATTGGTCAAGTCGTGAACCAAGCTGCTGACCAGGTTGGTGATAAACTAGCATTTGTTTTTCGCCATCAAAATATCCGTCGCACGTTTTTCCAGCTTAATAAAGAGGTGAGTATTTTACTTCTATGTTACCTTTAACATTTCCCTTCCTATTTCACCCCCCTCACACACACACTATGTTACATTTAACATTTCCCTTCCTATTTCACCCCCTCACACACACACACACACTACGCTACCTTTAACATTTCCCTTCCTATTTCACCCCCCTCACACACACACTATGTTACATTTAACATTTCCCTTCCTATTTCACCCCCTCACACACACACACACTATGTTACCTTTAACATTTCCCTTCCTATTTCACCCCTCACACACACACACACATTATGTTACCTTTAACATTTCCCTTCCTATTTCACCCCCTCACATTACTTCTATGTTACCTTTAACATCTCCCTTCCTATTTCACCCCCTCACACAAACACACACACTATGTTACCTTTAACATTTCCCTTCCTATTTCATCACCCCCTCACACACACACACTATACTACCTTTAACATTTCCCTTCCTATTTCACCCCCCCCCCACACACACACACACACTTTTCTTCCTGGTAAATGCTCCTAAATAAGAAATGATTACGACTATCAAAAGTAAAATAAATTATATGCAAAGATTAAACAACAGTTATGTTCAAATATACAAAGTGACGAACACAGCAGCGCCTCCTTACCGTAACATATGGCAACAAATATCGGACAAAGAGGCCTAAAACGAAAAGCGTCATACATGAGGTGCAAACAAAACTGTGGAGGTACACTACATCACTAGAAGTATTGCGCTTTACGGAAAAACATTGTTCCTGATAACCGACATTATTTACCAGAATCATATTTCATAATTACAATCACACAAAGAATAGTCTGACATCTGACATGATCATAGCCTGTGACCTGAATATAACCTATGACATGAACTTGTGACTTATGAACCTAAACTGTAACAAGACATTAACATATGAACTGTGACATGAACCTAGTATCACCTATGACATGAACTTTGGACCTGTAACATGGACCTAGTATGACCTATGACATGAAAGTCACCTGTAACCTATCACATGAACTTTGGACCTGTAACATGGACCTAGTATGACCTATGACATGAATATAACCTGTAACCTATGACATGAACTTTGGACCTCTACCATGGACCTAGTATGACCTATGACATGAATATAATCTGTAACCTATAACATGAACTTTGGACCTCTACCATGGACCTAGTATGACCTATGACATGAAGATAACCTGTAACCTATGACATGAACTTTGGACCTGTACCATGGACCTAGTATGACCTATGAAATGAAGATAACCTGTAACCTATAACATGAACTTTGGACCTGTACCATGGACCTAGTATGACCTATGAAATGAAGATAACCTGTAACCTATGACATGAACTTTGGACCTGTACCATGGACCTAGTATGACCTATGAGATGAAGATAACCTGTAACCTATGACATGAACTTTGGACCTGTACCATGGACCTAGTATGACCTATGAGATGAAGATAATCTGTAACCTATGACATGAACTTGTTATTGTGATCTGTTACATGAACCTGGTATGGCATGTGACATGAATCTAACTTGTAACATGACATGTACTTAACCTATGATTTGTGGCATGAAAGTAACCTTTGACACGAACTTAATACTTGTCACGTGCACTAGGAACTACTTCTACGTGTCTAATATTTTCCTTCCTTGCGGTCGGTAACAAAGACCGATTAAACAATCTAACCTCAGAAGAATGAAGTTTAATCCCTGACTTCACCCAATATATAAACAATACAACACCCTGTAGGACCAGTACGTTCCTTTATACAGGACGTACCAATCCTACCAATCTATTAACAATAAGATACAACACTCTGTAGGACCAGTACGTTCCGTTATACAGGCTGTACCTATCCTACCAATCTACTAACAATACAACACCCTGTAGGACCAGTACGTTCCGTTATACAGGCTGTACCTATCCTACCAATCTATTAACAATACAACACCCTGTTGGACCAGTACGTTCCGTTATACAGGCTGTACCTATCCTACCAATATATTAACAATACAACACCCTGTAGGACCATTACGTTCCGTTATACAGGATGTACCTATCCTACCAATCTATTAACAATACAACACCCTGTAGGACCATTACGTTCCGTTATACAGGATGTACCTATCCTACCAATCTATTAACAATATAACACCCTGTAGGACCAGCACGTTCCGTTATACAGGGTACACCTACCCTTGTCTCAAACAGTTGGACACGGCTTCTTTGTTTTTTGGGTTTTAAGGTAAACCTCCAGAAGGACTGCTTCTGCAAGACGTTTAACTGTTAGATTAGAGAGAAGACAACTAGTCCACCACCATGCTGGTGTAATCGAATATTTGGATGTGACAGTCAATCTTATAACTCACCCACGATTCCATATCGTTGCAGCTTCACGAGAGCAAACTGACCCCCCTCGACTATGCAGGCCATCACTCATAACACATGTAGCTAACTGCTGTGTGCCGACTCTGGCTCGTCAAATTCACTCTATCCGTTACGGACTTGCTATCCGGGGCTGTTAGAGTACCGTATTCGTTACGGACTTGCTATCTGGGGCTGCTAGAGTACCGTATTCGTTACGGACTTGCTATCTGGGGCTGCTAGAGTACCGTATTCGTTACGGACTTGCTATCTGGGGCTACTAAAGTACCGTATTCGTTACGGACTTGCTATCCAGGGCTGCTAGAGTACCGTATTCGTTACGGACTTGCTATCTGGGGCTACTAAAGTACCGTATTCGTTACGGACTTGCTATCCAGGGCTGCTAGAGTACCGTATCCGTTACGGACTTGCTATCCGGGGCTGTTAGAGTACCGTATCCATTACAGATTTGCTACAGGGGCTTTAGAGTACCGTATCCGTACTTCGTGTAAAATATATAGATTTGATTCCTTCACTTTCAGCTGAGCAGTACCCATGTTGTTCGTTTTGTGTCATTTTGGATTTATAAAAATAGATTAAAGATTCGACCTTGTTTAAATGTTTTAGATTATTCTACGACCTGTTAAAACGTCAAATACAAAGTTCATGATTGTGTTCTAACTCATTATTTATTGTGTATTTCATATATACCCACCGCATTTATAGGACTTCTTAAATCACCTGGTTTTAGTTTTCAAGTAATTTCTCAAATTTCTATTTCTATTTACAAACGTACTTGTTTTCCAATCACTCCAGAGTGATCAACTCGCAGCAAGTTTCCTGGAGCTAGGGTTAAGACCTGGAGAACGTCTTGCTCTGTGGAGTACAAACTGTTATGAGTGGATATTGACACAAGTGGCTGCAGCTAAAGCAGGATTAATCTTGGTAAGACAGTCTAGAGGTATCTCACTAAGTCCAGAGTTATCATGGTAAGACAATCTGGAGGGATCTTAGTAAGTCCAGAGTTATCATGGTAAGACAGTCTGGAGGGATCTTAGTAAGTCCAGAGTTATCATGGTAAGACAGTCTAGAAGTATCTTAGTAAGTCCAGAGTTATCATGGTAAACAGTCTGGAGGTATCGTTAGTAAGTCCAG